GAGAATAGCTTGACTTCCTCTTCTTTGTGGCAGCCCCTGAGATACTGTAGATAAGAATATTTTAAAATATTTGCATTAGACCTTCAAAGCCCACATACCATTTCAACCAACCCCTATAGAGTTCAAAATAGCTTGTCATCATTATTAGCTATGGATATGAGTCAAAGGCAGGACAAAGTTTGTGCTTCTTTGTTCCTATAGTCCCCAGGAGATGCTTTGGTCCTTCATCTTGTGACAAAGATATGTCTGCACTTTGGGACTTCCCAACTAGCACTTTCATCTTATAATGGGCTGTGTCTGACGCCATGGGACTTCATGCTAAATGATCACTCCATTTTTGTCTGATACTTGAAAGATCAAATACTTTTGGCAGTGAAATCATTCCATCTCTGGATCTCATGAAGCCTGTATACCTGGAAAACCAAAATAATGCAAGTAAATTAATAGGTGGGCTCAGTATGTTTTGTGTATTAATTTTCTTTAGGCATTGTTTGACCATTGGATTATCTGAGTAATAGTTCAGATAATTATTTAATTATTTAATGGATTTTTGAGTATCATGAAATGGTGGATTCCTTTCATTGTAATAGAATTGTATGTCTTGATATGAATTGTGTGAACCTTGATGACAAATGTACTTTTTCTACAAATTTTTCCAAATAAACCTCATGGAATCCCTAAGATTTTTATTTGGAAATATCTCCAATTATCAATGACCCTATAGATTTTAAAAATTTAAATCCTGTAGATTTGTTGCACAATTTTTCCTCAGAAAAGCTTTTCTTTGCATAGCACACAGTGTGTTGATATAAATATGTTTTACCAAGAATAAAGCAATTCAATTTTATTAATCATAAAGCAAAGGTGCAGAACTTAAGATTTCTGATAGATCCTAAAGTCTTTTCAAAAAATCTCATCAGTCTGTATATTTTAAGTGCCAGCAGGAGGAAAATATTTTATATGTAGGAGTAATCATATTAACTGGATGTAATTACCTTAAGTCAAATTCGTTTTTGTCCTGGTTTGCCACTAAAAGTTCCTCTGTGGTTTTTCTGAAAAACAGTTCATTATTGCTGTAAAATATATAGATTCTCTCTCAAATTCTATTTCATTTATTTCTCCCAGTGAATTTTAAGAAAGTGGTTTTTATATTTGGGAAATGGAAAATAGAGCAGATAGTAATTTTTACACATCAGGCATTTTCTGATTCATTCAGTGGCATATTTGATCCCATCAGTATCAAGGTCAATTCCATATGTGATTTTCTAATAGCAGCAGACTTACAATTTACCACTGAGATAGGAGTGGATGTGAATATGACAAGGCATCTATACAGGGGGATTACAACTATTCTGTCTATGATCGTAGCTTGTTTTAAGAGCCAAAGAAAAGCATATAACTCCTTGAGAATTCTCAACTTTCATTTTGAAATCATCCCAAGATTCTAAGTTTTATATCTGGGGGCATTGGGAAATAGCTGCATGGGCACAGGGTTAGCTTCAGAAAACAAAAAGGTGATAATGTAGACATTACCAAAATCAGATGATCAGATCTTTCAAGCATTGATCAGATTTCTGACCTCCCGTATCAAACATGGTTTGCATCCAATGCCAATAACATTCTTCCTCTAGCAACTAGTTGCTCAGATAAATATAAGAGATTTGCAAAAGGGCAGATTTTGCAGGGCAACCAATAAAAATCATATCAATGTGATTTGTGCTGTTTAGTGACGCTATAAAAGATTTCCATCTCTGTCTCTTGGCAAAAGTCATCTATGTCTAAGCTTAGCATTTGTTTGGGAACATATTGGTCTAAGTTAGATATTAATTTAAATCCTATGAATGAAATAATCACTGTGACTTTAAAGATAGTAGAGATAAAATTAGGATCAAAATTTGGTAGAGATGTGATCAGAGGAAAAAAGAACCAAACCTTATTCCTTATTCCCATAATAGCCCCAGTTGAACTATGATCTATAAGGGAAGAAACATAATGACTCACAAACACTATATTAATAAATTTCTGCTTCTCTACTAGCAAATGTGGAGAGAAAGTGCAATGAAAAAAGAAAAGAAAAGGAAAAGTAGTTCTAGTCACAAAGCAATGAGTTTATCCCTTTTCCCTATTCAGGACAGAAATCTGGGAATTATGGAACATATGATTATAATGAAATAAACAATTCTAGAAATTAAAAACAAATTAAATCTTTATATCAAACTAAGTGAAGCTGTTCTCTTTTCTGATCACTCAACCTCAAAAAGGGTACAGCAGAAGGTGGAAGAAAAGACAGACTACTACTACTACTAATAATAATAATAGAGTTGGAAGGACCTTGGAGGTCTTCTAGTCCAACCCCCTGCTCAGGCAGGAAACCCTATATCATTTCAGACAAATGGTTGTCCAGTCTCTTCTTTAAAACTTCCAGTGTTGGAGCATTCACAAAGCAAGCAATTGAGTGAAAATAGTGATATTATTATTATTATTATTATTATTATTATTATTATTATTATTATTATTATTATTATTATTATTATTATTATTATTGATCATCGCACAATCAACCAGATGTTCAGACTGGATTTGGCATTTTTGTCTACCTATTGAGTCCTTACCAAGGACCTGGGATAGGCAGATGTGGATATTTGATGGTATTACAGATATCGTCGCAGGATGGAAGCAGTTCCTAGTAAGGCCACTAATTGCAATTGACTAATGGCGAATTTGTCAATGCCAATGGTGTTCAAGTGGTGCTTTAAGGTAGAGACCATAATCTTTTGGGCTGATCCAATGAAGACAACATTTTTTATTCCCCCAGGCTGAGCAAGAGGAAAAAGGCACTTAGATGGCTTCAGTGCATAAAGGAGGACTAGAACCTGAGTCTTGTCTTGAGAACCTGAGTCCTACACCAACATCTTAACATCATACCACACTAGCTCTCCTTATACTGGTATTGGTATTAACTTAGAACTAAGGAGAAATTTCTTGACAGAACAATTAATTAGTGGAATGACTTGCCTTCAAAAGTCGTGGGTGCTCCAACATATATGTTTTTAAAAAGGACAACTATCTGTCTGAAATGGTATAGGGTTTCCTATTTCAGCAGGGGGTTAGATTAGAAGACCTCCAAGGTTCCTTCCAATTCTGTTACTCTGTTATTCTGTTATATTCTCAGAATTAAGTCTCACTATATTCAAGATGCATATAGAACTACATGCCATGTTACAGAATTCACTATTACACAATGCAGTAGCAAGACGTATATAAAGGGAATTACGTCCATTAATTGCTCAGTTGGGGGAGGCATGTTCCATGACTGGACTTCACTAAGGCATCCAATGGACCCTTATGGTTTGGACACCTAGGCAGATCTTTAGCCTGTTCTAGAAAAGATTTCATAATTTCCTCTACTCTAGCTGTCATTGCCTCACTTCTAGAATTGAGCAGTACAGGTAAATGTCTGGATGTTTTGACTGCATCTTCCATTAGCTCTGGTCAGTATAACCCAGGGGTCTTCAGACTTGGCCCTTTTATGACTTGTGGAATTCAACTCCCAGAATTCTTCAGCCAGGCACGCTGGCTGAGGAATTCTGGGAGTTGAAGTCCACAAGTCATAAAAGGGCCAAGTTTGAAGACCCCTGGTATAACCACACATGGAGGGAGATGGTATTGACTGTTCTCAGGATGCAACAAACTTTCCCATTGTGCATTTTACTTCAAGGCAAAATAGCTCATCCTTCGCTATCGCAATTCCCAAAATATTCACTAGAAAAGCTCTCCATTTTCTGCATCCATGCAGAGAGTACCTGATATATGAGAAGCAATAAGCAGATTATGTAAAGGGGCGATGTGTAAAAGATCTCCTGCAATCAAGAGAGCCTGCATTGTTTATTTTGCTAATGCATGGAGATCAGAACCTTATTTGGATTTAGAAATGGCTCTATTTTACATAGATGTTACCAAATATACCGAGAATGTTTGTTTAGAACTAGAAGGTAATAGATAAATTAACTTCAAGCATGAATAAGCAACTGAATGACTTTCGGATGTTTAGAATGCAATCTTCTGCAACCTCTTGCCATTGGCCTTATCTGAAGCTGACAGATCCGGAGAGTAGCCAATTGTTTGTACCTCCTTGCTTTACCGGGACATTGATATACAACTGTACCAATAAGTTTGCCCTTGCAGTTCTGGACTTATATTATAAAGCAAAGGCATTGCTTATTGCAATACACTGAAGCACCTTTAGATGTCTCTCTGCTTATGTGTTTTTTGTGGAAAAAAAAAGGCCGGGGGGGGGGGGGGAGAAGGGGGAAGAAATTGTTTGTCTGCAGCCGTTTCCTTAAATAAACTATTTTGTTGCTTGGATTGTGACAGAAATCAATAACAGCAAGCAATTGCCCAGCCAGTGTTTCCAGTTACAAAGTGATCGTGCAAAGTTGGTGCATAGCCAGGGGGAGATAGGGAGAAGCTGGCTTGTAGCTGTAAAGCTGTGGACAGAATTACTTCTAGAAGGCAGCAGGCAGAATTTCCTCCAGATTACACCGTTGTTATGCCAAATCTTGTATCTTTAGTATAAACAAAATATCACGGTGAGGATAAGCCTGTTTGGCGGGGAAAGGTCTGTCTATTTTTCTTTCTGTAAGCCAAGGAGTTGTGACCTATTTCAGAAAGGCACCAAGCAGCTACCATTCTACGCAACTGTGCCCAG